AGAAACACAGCGCTGATCTCAAGGAGATAAGTAAATCAGTAGAAAAGACTCTAGAGATCATCTCTCTATTGAGTAAAACTGTGAGCAATACGATGGAAATATACACCTCTGACAGTCAACTGCAATTCAATGAATTCAACAAAGTCAAGGAGCAAATAGCAAATGTCACAATTGGTCTGCAAAAACAGATGTCCCTTCTCCAAATGGACATCAGATCAGCCCTAGCTATAGCTTCAGCAAATCAAGTAGTAACCAAAGACTACTTGAAGGTGATCATTGACAATCAAAAGGAAGCATACAAGCTGTTCAGACTTATTGGTGCACATTCTGGGAACCGCAAGATGGAAGTAATTCTCCAACAACACAGTCCATCTCCAATACCACAGCTCCCTATTGCAGTCAACGAAGGAGAAGCATCTTATGTCCCTTCTCATCTGCACATGACTAATCTGATCCTTGAAGCACAGCAAAGAAATCCGGAAAACTCAGCACAGCACCTATCCAGCTCAGGACTGGATGGAACAGAATTTATAGGTGCAGTGGCTGACCACTTCTCAGATGCTGCTCAAACAGAGGAAAGGCGTGAAAACCTAAGGCGCATCAAAGAACTGTGTGGGAACATGCAGGGCATCAGTGAAGTTGCCGGATCTTCAAAACGCAAAAGGAACTGAAGGTTCTTTTCATCAAACCAGGGGGAAAGTATGTGAAAACATTTGTTTTGATGAAAACACCTTCTTGTTTAAACATTGCTTGATTGGTTTAAACATTGCTTAAGTATGCCTTAATTGTGCTTATTATGCTTAATTATGCTTATCTCAAGTATGATTTTGTCTTAACTATTTTTTCTGAAGCACATACATTTAGGGGGAATGTAATTCAGGGGGAACTTACCTAGTTTTGGCTAACAATTATTTTTGGCAATGAATTATTGATAAGCTCAAAGTAATGGAAGACGGATATCTCAGTTTTGGTACTAAAATTGGAAATCTCCGATTCAAGTACTTTACAAAATCTGCCTTCTTAAACTAAGCTTTAGTCCTTAATTTATTTCCAACGAGCTCTAAAAGTACTGGTCCCTAGGATGTTTAAAAATGTACAGGACTTTGGAAAAATAGTACCACTTTTCTTTTAAATATTCATATTTGTTTTGGTGCTACCTCGTCCTAAGTAGAAATTAGAACTATAGGGAATGAAAAATGATAGTCTTATTTTGGGCAATTTCCCTTTAGTACATAGCTTTCTTTTCTTTTTTGGGCCACTCTTTTGGGCTTAGCCAAACCAGAACAGTTACGTTTCTCAAACCAATCGAAACTGATTTTCTAATTAAAACAGTTTCAATTCCTTGGTAACTGGTAAAAGATTCCTTTTACTTTTCAACTTCTTGGAAGTTGAAACTCCTTTACTCTCACCGTTCCAACTACCCACTTAATGGAACCCGTGAAACTCCTCCTCCCCTATTTAAATCAAGATATCTCAATTCACTTTCATCACAAACAACTCTCTCAATATGAAAAGTCTTCAAACTCACTGTCTAAGGAATACACCAAGAAAATTATGCTCAATGGAGAAACTTTTCTTTCTTACCCTCATAGACGGCAATGGAAGAAGCCTATTGAGAAGAAAAGACTTTTAAGGTCTATGGTGAGAATCTCGGCAGTAGAGAAGGTCTATGGTGGAAATCTCGTATTTTTCAGTATTAGACCATACACCTTCTCTGGAACAACACTCTCTCTATTTTTTTGAGAGATGTGTTGCTTCCAAGATCTTGAATATCCACTTTGGATATTAAAGATCTATCAAACGCAACGCCAACTGCTCAGCCAAGCAGAATCTGCTGAAGCTGAAAAAAGTCAAGGCGGAAGAAATCACAAAATCTCAAGACAAAAACTTGGTTTAGGAATTATTGTAATTTGAATTGTATTTGTTTAAGAGTTTTTGTTAACAAGCTGTATATTATGAGAAACTAAAAGAAAGTTATACAATTAGTTCTCAGTACAGCGACCGGAACTCTTAAACACTTGTTTGTCATCATCAAAAAGGGGGAAATTGTTGGAAAAAATATTATAGATTTTGATGATGATTTTTTTAGAATGTAATAGGGACTTTAGGTCTCCCCCAATATTCAATGTAATTTTTCTTTTTAGAAATATTGTTAAAACCAAGTTCTTGAGTTTTCAATAAAACTGTGATATTTCTTTAAGCGTTTTGATGCCTGAAGACTTGATCAATTTCAGTGATATGAAAATTGGATATCTTAAATCGGAAGTGTCAGAGACAAGTGAGGATTTCTCAATCAGATAAAAATCCTCAGATCTGGAAGACTGCATAAGAACCGGATGTCTCGCTACAACCCGCTGAAGGCTAAGTCATTCAAATAGGAAGACTAGCGCGGATCTCCTTCTCACCCGGAAGTCTGAAAAAGACTCATCCGGATTTGTCAGCTAAGAATCGGAAGACTCACCAAAGACCGAAATTCTCAGAAAGCGGACAAGTGAGAAAAAGCTTAGAAAATCATCTAAGTCCTGAATGAAGAAATTCTACCCGTGGCAAGGAAAAATCAATCTCTTGATTTTCAACGGCTAGATTGAAGATAATTAGGCTGATTCAAGAACAAATTACTCGAAGACAAAGTCTGGGTCTCTAAAAATTAAAGAGCCTGCCCGGAATTCCTAAACAAGCACTAGAAGACAAACAGAGTAAAGTGCTACAGTCTTAAATTCTTGAACAACGGCTAGAAGACGGATTTTGGGGAATCCTTTCTCAACAATTGGGTAAGTCCAAACACCCACTTCAACGAAGAATCTTCAAATCACAATCTTCATTCAAAATTGAAGCCAGCAAATGCAACGGATAGTCCATTATGATTCAACGGATAGATTATCCAATCCAGCTATAAATAGCATCCTTGGAAGACTGAAGA